CTTAACTTGTAAGTGCTGCCTACCTAGTTAAGTTGTATATAACTAAGACAATAAGGTATGGACTCAACGTAGATCCCTAATGTAGACCTATTATCATTGAAAATTTACTCATCTCCCTACTAGTTGTTCGCACAATAATTAGCTCTCCCTTGCATATATGCTCGCCAAGTTGATTTAGTATCTGGAGATTCTTTTCTTTTCCAATACCTACCAAATTAAATCTTAAGGTGCTCTATTATAAGTTTTCTCCAGATCAATAAAGACCATGTGTAGGTCTTTTCCCTCCACCCTAAACTTCTAAATCAATTGCTAACTAGGAGAATCACATCACTTATTGAATATTGTGGCATAAAACATTATTGATTGTCTAATAACGTTTCATGCCTTAATTGTTGCTCAATCACTTTCTCCCATAACTTCATAGTGTGACTCATAAGTTTGATCCCTTGATAGTTTGCACAATTTTGTATTATTCTTATAAATGGGTACTACAATACTTTTCCTCAATTCATTTGACGTTTTCTTTGTTCTTAACACTCTCCCCCATGCACTTTCAATCCTTTATCAGGATACCATTTTGTCTTAAAACCTTTCCAATCTTCATCCTCTTCAAAGCTCATTTCATTCATGATATCCTAATCCTACGAATGTATCTATGACCTCCACCTTTATTTATGGCAATTGTTTCTTCTACCACTACATTCTTATTGTGTTCGTCATTTAACAAATTTTGTAAATAAATTCTCTATCTTTCGTTAACTCTTCATCTTTCACTAAGACCCTTTGATCATCACTCTTAATGCATTCAATATAGTCTAGATCCTTACACTTTTTTTTTTCTAATTTTTATTAATTTAAAGACATCTTTTTCACATTTTTTTATTCTCAATTTACTGTATGGATCAATTTTGTCAGATTCGCTTCAGAGTCTTCTTCAGTTTGGTGAGAAAAATGAAGCAATTTGGTGTTTCGGCTGATTCAGAGGAAGACTACAGATTTTTTTTTTTTGTTTTTTTAATTCAATGTAATTGCATTAGATTTTTATAGATAAAATAACTAAAAAATTAAAAATAAAATTGTAAAAATAAAAAATAAAGGAAAAATGCTTTTATATAGATATTTATTTGCTTTGAACGAATCGGCTTGAAGCGGACCGAAACTGACTGAAGTGGCCCAAAGCTATCCGAAGCAGCAACATCAAGCTTCGCTTCGATTTGGTCTAGACCTAAATTTCGAAGACTTCAGCCTCATCAGCTGAAGGAAGTGAATTTGATAACACTGGTAAGTTTAGCTTCATTTACTATTTGTTTGCTGTTTTTCGTAGCATTTTTATATTCTTATAAGTTTTGTTCATTTTCATTACATTGCCAAGTTTTATAACATTATCGTATTTCGCTAATGGCCTTTTGAACCTCATCACTCCATCACCAAGGTTTCTTATCATAATTTATTTTCTCATTAGTTTCTCCTAAAACGTTTTTTGCCACTTTCTTAATACAATCAACTATCTCAATCCACATAACATTGACCTCATGTTCAATATTTTGTTTTCCTTCTTTAATTAGTTTATCCCTAAATAAGTTGATTTTTTCATTTTTTAAATTCCACTACCTAGTTCTTGGACGCCTATTAATTTCACCCCTAATCTCTTTGTGCAGATGTCCATAACCCCGAGCAAATTCTCATCCATACCAAGAGCCTTTGTTTTGAAAATTGTCGTGTTAATATATATTATTGATACAATGATTTGATGACAAATACAATAAATCTTTTACCATAGCTTTTTTGGCAACTTACTGATTACATATACTTGACTTTATTGATTTTTATTCTCCCATCAAAATAAAGTTTATGTGTGAACTTAGATACTAAATACTTTCATGTGAAACAAAAAAGTCTTTTAGGAGAAAATAATATAATGTAAAAAACAAAATGCTAATAAGAGATCTACAGATCCATTTTTTAAAAAAATTCATGTGCTCTATCAAAAAGCATAAAAAGTTGGACAAATACTTTGAATATAACAATTGTATATACTTACAGTTGTTTTATAATAAAAATTTGAAGCTCTCTTTCTATATCTCTTCAATATTCTCAAACTTATCTCAAAGAGCTACCGTTTAATCAAATTGGAGTTTCACATATAAGATTTTTGCAATTTCAAGTAATTTACATGAAAATACATGATTCTAGGGAAATGAAACAATATAACTACTATTTGTTTAGCACCAAGTTGAAATAGTGTAATAGTAATTTTCTTGAAAACTTATAGAATTTCATGAGAGAGAGAGTACATAGTAGAAATTTAAGCCTAACTTGTATTTGTATATGTGTAAAAAAAAATGTTTTTTTTATGATCGAACCAAGAGAAAACAAAAACCTAGTACCTTTTCTACTTGGGTGTAACTGTTTGTACCTATGTGTGGCCATGAGGCCTTACTTGTGCCACATAATTTTTTTAATCTAATTAATGTTTCTCAAAAATATTTTATTATCCATCTTTAAAAAGCTCTTTAGAGAGAGGAAACCTTTTTACAACAGATAGTGGATTGCTCCCGAATCTCCCAGACATTGAGGGCCACTTCTCAGATATTTCAGAAAGGAAAACTGAATGTTAGAGAATGACTTCTTCCTATCCTTCTATAAATTAGGGTTTCATAGCCATAGAAAATACTGAGAAAAAAAATAGTTTTCAATCGTTCTGGAAAAGCCTTAGCTCTCTGTGATTTACAGTCCAATAATGCTACCCAATGTTTAAAAAAACGCCGACTCGAACCGGACTCGCCCGGTTCGACTCGGAAATCGCCATAGACGGATCGAATTGGCAAAAACAACGAGAATCGTCCGATTCTAGAGAGAACAGGACGATTCTGTATAGTGACTCGCCGATTCACTGTACGGAATCGGCGAGTCCGTACAGTGATTCGGCTAGTCCCGTTTACGGTTTTTTTTTTTTTTTTTTTTTATTTTTTTTTTTTATTTTTTTTTTTTTTTGTTTTTTTATTACTACTGTATCGTATTTTTAG